AGAACAGCTCCTGATGAATTCTGCAATGCAATCATCCTTGCTTAGGCACCAGGCTGAATCTTGGAAGTCATCCTCAACTTCCCTTTCTCCTTTGCAAGCCACATCATATCAACGGTCAAGTCCTGCCAAGTTAAGTCAAGCTTCGCCTCTCTCTTTCTCCTGGATTGCTGCCGTGCCTTCATGCAGAGCTCCCTGCTTCCATTCCTATTCACTTCTGGTCTATCCTCATACCATACTCAGCACAATCTAATGAAATATAATTCTGACCAGGCCAAGCCCATGCTTAAAGCATTAGAATAATTCTCTGGTATCTCTAGGAACATCTCAGGCCTCTTCCCAGAAAAGAGCTTCCATGATCTAACATCTACAGATATCTTCAGCCTCATCGATTAGCCCTCCCTGCCTGATCCTTTCTTCTTCAGTAACACTTAACTGCACAGAGTCCACAGCTGACACCACCCAACCCTGCAGGCCTCGGTGCCTTTGCTCACATTCTTCCTTTGCCTGGAATTCCTCACCATTTTCTACCTATCATTTGCCTGGCTGAATCCCGCTCATTCTTTAAGACTCAGCTCTCCAGTCCTCCCCGAGTCCCTTGTCTGATGTATGAACCTTTCTTCAGAGCTTCCATAACACCCTGTGGTTACCTCCATCAAATCGCTTTATGCTGTCTTCTCTGTCCTTCCACTACATTGTAAGCTTCCTGAGGTCTCATTCAACATTCTGTCCCTCTTGCCCAGACCAGTGCCAGCTATCTAGAAGGTGCTTAGAAAAGCTTTAGATTTGGAATTAAGAACCAGGGTTCAAGTCCTTTCTCTTCCAGGCGTTATCCCTGTGACATAACAAAGTCAACTGCCCCATCTGAGCCATGCTTCCTCATCTATAATGATTCTATTTACCTTTCAAGGAAAGATTGAAGATCAAACGAAGTAACCTAAATAATCTTTGTAAGCTGCAAAGGAATATGAAAATGTTTTATTACATAGGATATGCAGAAAGACGTAGAGGAAAAGAGATCTATCACAACATTATGGATCCTGTACAAATTTAGTGAGACTTCATATTCATTCAAAAATCTACATAAGCATTTTTATACCAGTGTAGTAGTCTGCAAGTTCAGTGAGAGAATTATCTCTGTTTTAAAAACCTAGTCAATGTGCCCAGAGGCAGTAGAATTGGACTTGTGAAAATAATCAGCTGATATTACTTAATAGCTGTGACAAGAGCACTAATTTAGCTTCTGCATTAGCAGCACATGAATCTCCAGAGAAATTTAAAGAATTTAAAACATTGCATCTTCTTTCCTCTGTTCCTTCAGACTACCCCTTCTCCCCAGCTCTTCCAACTGGCACATTTTACACACTTCTCAATTATGTGTAAAAATCAGGCCATGGAGCATAGTGGTTAAGTTTGGTGTGCTCCACTGTGGTGGCCCGGGTCACAGGTTCGGATCCTGGGCATGGACCTATACCACTCGTCAGTCATGTTGTGGTGGCAACCCACAAATAAATGGAGGAAGATTGGCACAGATGTTAGCACAGGGCAAATCTTCCTCACCAAAATAAAAACTCAGGCCATGGAGAAGGGACAATTCAGATTAGATTTCACAAGCCATCCTGATTTACCTTAAGTGAATACATGTCACTTATCCAATTCTTTTTCTATTGCTTGGCAAGAGAGGAGGAAAAACACTTCCACTCTGCAAGAGCAACTCGCAATTCAAATAAATGGGAATTAGAAATAAATGACCAAGTAATCACTGAATGTGATCTGCTCTAACAAGGCAAATCTGTATGCAAAATTAGAGCGGGAAGACTCCTAGTTCAGGGTTGTACAACAAAAATATTCAAGGAACTAGAAAAGCATAAGGCAGGAGGAACATAAACATTTCCCCTCGATGGGGAAGACGGGGGTGTGCCAGTGCTCCCAGAACAGGGGAAGTCACATGGAGGACAGGCAGAAGCCAGCACCTGGGATCTGGGGCAGTGACCTGGCTCTGCCACCTACTGATCAGATGACCTTTGGCGGGTTATTGTATCTGTTCAGACTTCAGTTTCATCATATGTCACGTGGGGTCAATCACAAGACATATCTCATAGAGAGGTGGGGCCGGGGGAGAACCTGGCCTATATCCAATGAATAGTAGAAATTGTTTATTTAAAGTTAAATTTGTTTAAAGAAAAGTGAAAATGCAGGAGAATAAGGAAAGATTGGAAAGATATGTTGGGGCCAGATTTTGCAGCTCTTGAATTCCAGGCTACAAAGTTTAGATTTTGTTTAGATAATGGGGAACGTACGAAGGTTTTGAGCAGGAGTGTGACACAAAGATGTGATTTTGGGAGATGGACCTGGAAGCAGTGTATGGAGAGAGCATGAAGGGAAATATCAGGGGGCAGAAGAACCAGTTAGGAAGTTGCCGTCTTCATCCAGTGAGACCTGACCCAGGGCAGCGGTCACGGGGCTGAAGAAGAAGGCTGCTATGGGATAGAACTGGCAAGCGGGAGTTGTCAGAGGGCTCCTGTGTGTCACGCCTTTGGACTGGGAGACAGTGGTGTTCTTTATTTCAGAAACAGGAAGCATAAGTAGGTAAGTGGGTTTGAGAGGGTCTATAATTTAGTGTTGGCTCCAGGTGTTTCAGGTGCTGGTAAGCTACCAAGGTAGAAAGAGCCAATAGTCATTCAGATCTAGCACCCTGCCTATGATCAATATTTTGATATAATTTGTTGGACTATAGGTTCCTATTTCAAAAGAATCTATGTCTGAGTTTTTAAAGATGCGATCAGTTGGGATGTAGGATTCACCAACAGAAACACCCTCCATAGCAAACCTGGCTGGCATGCATCTCTGCCATTAAGTGACTCCTTAGGAATTCCCAGTCCATGGCGTTCTGCTCAGGTTAATTACATTTGCTTGCTGCTGGAAAGATGTTTGAATCCAGGCAAGATCCCATGCAAACTCCCCTATTTTTTCTTCCTAGATAGTCTGTGTTTTACTCCCCACCCAAACTGGCTGAAAACATGAGCAAATTTGACCCTAGTACAACCATGTTGAACAGTCTGTTCCTTGACTCTGCTTATCAAAGAGCTCAGCCTGGCTGCAGAGGCTCAGCCTCCCCAGGGAAAGCCAAGCTGAGACCTCGTGTCGCATCCACCTTATCTGTGTTGTACTATTCTGTCCTTCTTTAAACTCTCCATCTGTTGTCCTGATACTGAGATGAGGCTTAATGGTCTGTAGTCCCCAAGTTCCCAGTGGTGCCTCTGAGAAAGATTGGGCCCGCATTAGCAACTTTCCAATTTTTGGCAACAGTGCCTTTTGTAACCCCACTTCTCTGTTGACCATTTCGCATTTCACATCCATCCAAACTCCAGACAAGGGAGTAAGAGCCCACTGCCCTTACTGGTCATATCCAGCTCCCAAGGATATATTTTTGTGAAAGTGGCTTTACTGTATTCATCAATTTATTTTACTATTATTATTTTTTACAGGGAAAGAGTTACCCCGAGCTAACATCTGTTGCCAGTCTTCGTCTTTTTTATCCCTCCCCAAAGCCCCAGTGCATGGATGTATATCCTTGTTGTAAGTCCTTCTGGTTCTCCTATGTGAGCTACCACCACAGCATGGCAACTGACAGACGGGTGGTGTGGCTCCAAGACCAGGAAACGAACCCGGGCCCCAAGTGAGAGTGCTGAGCTTTAACCACTGGGTCATCAGGGCTGGCTCCATCAATTTATTTTAAAATGTGTATTTGGATTTATTGTGTGCAAAGCTTTGAACTAGACAGCGCTGGAAGTCTCCTCAAGATGAAAGAGACATACAGTTTTCCAATGAGGCTAGGAGCCGGTGGGAAGATTGACATGTACACAAATGAGACAAGGGAGGTCGGGGGAGGGGCATGAGGAGGAGGACGGTAGAAAGCTAAGCATGAGTTAAAGCTGCAACTTACCAGCTACAGGACTTAGATTTTGTATTGAAGATGGGGTGCTTATAAATCCTTTCTCTGTGGAATTGCTGATGGTACAGCCCAACAAGGCTCTGGGAACAGGTGGAGGGCCCGTTTGAATGCCATCTCTGAGGCCTGTTAAGTAGAGAGTCCTTTTTGGCTGGAAGAGTGGCCCAGAGGTCTGGATGAAGGGGTTATTTTGTTTAAGTGAAAACTGAGCAACCACATAGAAAAGTAGCTGCAGTACCGTAATCTTTGATGACACACCGTCATCCCTCATTATCTGCCGTTTTGCTTCCCACGGTTTCAGTTACCCTTGTCAACAGCAGTCTGAAAATATTAAATGAAAAATTCCAGAAATAAGCAATTTATAAGTTTTAAATTGTTTGCTGTTCCAAGCAGAGTGATGGAATCTTGAGTGGTCCTGCTCCGTCCCACCTGGGACGCGAATCATCCCTTTGTCGAGCAGATAAAGGCTGTAGACACTACCTGCCCGTTAGTCACTTAGCAGCCGTCTCAGTTATCAGATCCACTGTCGTGGTATCTCAGTGCTTGTGTTCCAGTCACCCTTAGTTTACTTAATAATGGCCCCAAGGCGCAAGAGGAGTGATGCTGGAAATTCGGATACGCCAAAGAGAAGCCGTGAAGTGCTTCCTTTAAGTGGAAAGGTAAAAGTTCTCCACTAATAAGGCAAGAAAAAAAATCATATGCTGAGGTTGCTAAGATCTACAGTAACGTTTATGACAGTTGTTGCAATTATTCTATTTTATTATTAGTTATTGTTGTTAATCTCTTACTGTACCTAATTTATAAATTCAACTTTATCATAAGTATGTATACAGAGGGGAAAAACATAGCATATACAGGGTTCGGTTCTGTCGTGGTTTCAGGCGTCCACTAGGGGTCTTGGAATTTATCCCCCGGGTAACAGGGACTACCGTATAAAGAAGATCAAAATAGTGTGCTGCTTAAGTAATTATGTTTTTGGTTTAAATCTAGAACTCAAGTAAGGTTTCTGCTAATTCGTTAGTTAATTAATTGTTTTGTACTTTGTTTTCAGACTCAGGATCTCATGAATGCAGCCTCTACTGGAAGACGTTGCACAAACGCAATGTTCCTTGGGTGCTGAATGTATGTGAATTTATGGCGCATGTAGTTTGCATTTTCCTATTAAACGGGGAACATGTAAACAGGGCAGGTCTTCACTCAAAACATTATGAGACTTGCTCCAGTTTCTCCCTAACCAGAGGGTAATTTTCTGGAAGTCAGGGCCACCTTGTGTCTCCAGAGACCAGAGGAGAGCTGAACTGAAGAGTCTGAGACAGAGCTGCAGCAAAGCCTCAGGAGCTTCCTCAGTTCTGTGCTTTTATTAGAGAGCGGAACAGCGACCACCGTGTGGGCGGAGCAGGTCAGCTGGGACTACATCCAAAGGAACGGCTCTGCTGCTCAAGACGTTACCAGAATCCTAAGGTGCTGAGGGGAGGTTTCAGCGTGGCTAAAATTCGGAAATTGCTGAGTTCATGCAGAAGAATGAAGACTCAAGTCCACAGGTCCAGGGCTAGCAAGAGACGAAACCAGGGGTAGGGTCAATGGCTTCATAGCTGTGAGACCACTGATACGTGCTCTTCCTTTGAAGGACGTCTTCAGCCTCAGCTGCTTTTATCTTTTAGGTTTCTATGGCGCATCTCATTGTCCTGATCCTGAAAACGGGGATTTGGGCACTTAATGGGAGTTTCATGCAGTGAAAACATTTCTGAGTCCTCTAAGCAGAGGCACACCTTTGTTAATGTCCATGTCCTCAGTTAAGCCAGGGCCGGTTCCTCTAGTGGGACTGGAGGTTCAGTAATGGGGACAATATCCACAGCAACCCTGGAATACTGTATTCCACAGGTGGCAGTGGGGGTTATGGGAGAAATGTCTTCTTAGGAAGAGTTTTTCCTCTCCAGGACAGGGCCAGAAAATGAGGCCTCCAATTAATTAAGTTTAAGGATTCTAATTTAACATTTGGGGGACACTGGTTCTTAAACATGGAATGGGACAAAGCACCGCAACAGTACAAGAAGCCTGTGCTCATCATGGAGCGTTGACAGCATTAGATATTACTTTGGTCCAGGACCCAGGAAAACATAAATTCTGTCATGCTCAGTCTCTTCTTTTCCTTATTATGTATTTACAAAGATATATGTTTACACAGAACAAAGGCAAATTCACATTTTATTGTTAGCTGGGGTTGAGACCCAATCCAATGCAGAGAACGTTGGCTGCCGGGCTGGAGCACTTTCCTCCCCGTTTAGAACGCAAGAGCTTCAGTCAAGGGTCAATCCAACATGCTGGTTAACCCAAGGGCAAAGATAAGCAGAGAGAAAGAGACTCTTCCACGTGCCACGCTGGCCTAAACGCCTGGACTGTTGCTGTTAAATTGATCCGTTTTTTATTTTATGTTTCACACCTTTTGTGTCCTGAGTAAAAAATCTTTGCCTACTTTAAGGTCTCTAAGATTTTCTCTTATGTTTTCCTCCAGGAGTTTGGTAGTTTCGGTTTTATGTTTTGTCCTAGGATCTATTTCAGGTTAGTTTTTGGTATGAGGTGAGGTAAGGGTTGAGGTCCATCTTTTCCCATTTGATATCCAGTCTTTCCTGCAACATGTGTTGAGGACTGTCCTTTCCTCACTGGATTACCTTGGCACCTTTGTTGAAAATCTGTGTGTGAACTATCTAATCTGTTCCATTGATCCGTTTGTCTATCCTTACACCAATATCACACTGTCTGAATTACTATAGTTTTGAGTCTTGAAGTCAGGTAAGGTAAATCCTCTAGCTTTGTGCTTCTTTTTCAAAATTGTTTTGGATAATCTAGATCATTTGCAGTTCTATATACATTTTAGAATCAGTGTGTCAATTTCTCCAAAAAAATGACTGCTAAGGTTTTGATGGGGGGACACTGAATCTATAAATCAATCTGGAGAGAACTGATACCTTGCAATTCATGAACATACATTTCTCTCTCAATTTGTTTAGGTCTTCTCAATTTGTTACAGCAACATTTTGTAGTTTTCACTGTACAGGTTTTGCATATATGTGTTAAATGTATTTAAGGGTCTCTTTTCTTCAGTTACTGTAATTGGTATTGTTTGAGTTCTAGTTTTTCACTGATATCTATAAAAATACAATTGAATTTATATGTTTATTTTGTACCCTGTCACCTTGCTAAATTCACTTACTAATTCTAGAAGTTTTTTGTAGATTTCTTAGGATTTTCTGCATACATAATTATGTTTACTTCGCATCACTTTTAAAAGCAGTGATATTGCCTTCTTGAAAGAGTGGCCCAATTCCTGTCTTGGGAACTGACCAGTACAATGACTGTTTCTTGATCTTTGGGAAACTCATGGAAGGTACCCACCATGGATGAGGGCATGTTGGTTATGCAGTGAATCAGTAACCAGTGGTCACTGAAATCTTTAACAGATTTCCCTGATTGAGGAGAATATGAAAGTGCTTGATGAATGCCTCTTGGTACTCCTCCTTAAGAAAGAGGTTGATGGGGTAGAGAAGAAAGGCAAAGAGAAAAATCAAGGAGTAAAGCATCTGAAGGGACTGTGGGTTGGGCTAGTCATCCAATCAGGACTGACTTCCTGAAGCACGTGTCTGGGCCCTGGCAGTCTGCTAAGATAGTCTGCTCTTACTGAATCAGTTGTGTAGGCAAATGTTATCAGTATCTCCAGTGATTTTTCTGTGCTGAGTAGGACGCTGTAGCACTTATGGGTGCCGGGATGGCTTCTTTCTCCGCTTCCTTAGCTCATTATTTGGAAGAACAGTTTGGAATAAACAGGGCTATCTGGGAAGTGAGTGACTGCCTAAGACATGTGTCTGAGAATGGAATTTGGATTTGGAGATCAAGGTGTTAGAAACTGAAATTACGAGCTCTCAGTTTGAGATAAAGGTATCATAGCATTTTGAAAACAGCAAGGGCTTTGTCAGACAAACCAGGGTTCAAATCTCAGCTCTGACGGATGTTCTCCATTTCCCTCCAGACCCACTTTCCACCCTTCTTCATCTTGTTCTGAGTGCTGGGGGTTGACCTAAGATTTGCTCTCTTGCCTCCTGTTGGCTTTAGCCCATGGGAGGTACTGGCAGGTAATCAGAGCGTGGGAAGCGAGGCCAGGATAGTTATTTTCCCAGCTCCCTCTCTGCTGCGCCGCAGTTGGGCCACAGCTGTTCCTGACAGGTGGCCCTCTCCTACAGCTTTCTCTCCAGGTTCTAGGCCCTTCTTGCCCCTTCATGCCCAAGGATAGCAAAAACTTTCTGCTATTTCTGTCCATAGGTTACTTTATCATCCCTTGCAGGTTTTCTATAACTCTGCCCACACCTTAAAATAATCCTTTCATTAAACTTTCTTCAGTCATCTCTTTTGAGGATGTCATCTGGACTCTGTTAAGCCCATCCACTTGACAACTTTGGAACTTTGAGCAAGTTATTTAGGCTCCAGAGTCTCCATTTTTTAAATCTATAAAGTGGAGATGAAAATATCCTGTGCAAAAATAAGAGATCATATGTATAAACAGCACATACTAGCTACCTAGGAAGTGGTAACTGACGTCACCATTATTAGTAACAATCATCACATGAGGACTGGCAAGCTCAGGGTGTCCTCAGTGACTGTTCAGATAAAATTGTAGATACTATGGTTTCTGGATACTGCTCACCCAGAAGCATAAGACTGAAGGGAAGAGGTGCAGGAAATGAGAGGTGAAAACTGGGCAAGGGGTTGGAAAGATTTATTAGTACTGTGAAATGGAATACTTTTGATATTTTAATACAAGAAGGGATGTATAGCTTTAGGGGTCTCAAGACTTGGTGGGAGCAGCCTCATACCTAAATATGTCAATGGAGGTGTTCACCTTATTAGAAAGGAGCACGTTTTCAGAGGAAGAGGTATGGTAGTGACACATATCACAGGACAAATACTTGAATAGAGACATGTTGAGCCAGAAGTCTAATCTTGAGAAAAGCAGAAGTGTAAAAGGAAAGAAGTTATTATTGACGTAAGGGCCTCCTGAAGAACATGCAGCCAGATGGAAGAAATAGGTCCCTGACGCAGGTTGTAGGTCTGGTAAGAAGCAAGGCATTTAGCTCTTGTATCTTGATGGTCCCCATCTTGCGTTTATACCATCACTTGATGCCCACTGCTATTCTGGCTGACTGGTCCTTTCCTCCTCCATGACCCATCTCTTAGAGGAGCCCATAACCAATTTTGGCAGAAAGCTCTTTTCGTTCGCTCACTGCTCCCTTCTTTCCAGGCCACCCATGTCTGCCCAGATAGAGAGGTCAGAGTAAGTTCAAGTAAAAGTTCCCCATCTCGGTCCTTGGAACCTCTCTCTACAGACCCTCAGCCTTCATCACTGTCTGACTAATCATGCAAGGCTTCTCTTCTTTTGTAGTCAATTATCTCCAAGAGATCCTGCAAGTCCTCTTGCAATTTACTTTCCGAGCCCCTACCTCACCAGTTGCTCCGACATGCCACAAATATCTGTTTAAGTTCTTTCCCCTGGAGGCTTCTCAACTCCCATATAATTCAAAGGATAAAGCTAAAAACCAGAGGGTGTCAGACCTAAGCAATCTCCGATTCTGCCCAGCTTCTAATAAATCTTTCCTTGGCCCCGTAGTTTTTTTCTCCCAGCAGGTGGGTGAAGTGATGAGACCCTCTCCTGTAACTGTGATCAGAAAAGACAAACCTGAGAGAAAGCGCTTGTGTTAGCCAGGAGGAGAAACAAACCAGAGAAAACATTCAGCTAGCTTGAAATTCTGAAGTGGTAGATGTCTTACGATGGTTAGGAAGGTCCCTGTGTGGACATTTTGTCCACGAAATTGCATACAATCCTGATGAGGAAGCAGCAGAAGGGTCTCTAAATGGAAGGAATTCTCTGGCTTCACAGGGAACTCTATGTGAGCCCAGATCTTCAAAGGACATGACCAGAAAAACCAAAGAATGAATATCAAGGATGATGAAGCTTTGTGCAAATGACGTCAGAAAAGCAAAAAGATTTGTGCAAATGACTGTGACTTGGGGACAATGCCCAGGACATCATAAAAGACACAAAGTCTGTTTGGAGCAAGCTGAAGTGTAAAAAAGGCAAAAGCAAATGCCTTGGAGAAATGCTTTCAAAGCCGTTCAAAAACTCCTGGCCTTCGTCTGCTTTGCCAAGGAGAATGACCTTATGAATGGAAAGGGGAGAACAAACAACCATCGAAGGTCAAACTGCCGAAGAGGCTGTGAGTGGGCACAGAGTTCAAGCCTCCTGCCCAGGAACACCGTATGCTGGGGAACTGCGAGACCTCGCAAATGAGATTACTCGGCCACTTTGCTTATCTCGGAGGAGCTGTGAAAAATGGGGGATGTGTCAGAAGACTGGAATCGGCTAAGCGTAGTCATGATTTTCTAAAAGGGGAAAAGTGGGTTATGTGGAGGGATTGTCAACTTAAATGTTTATGGAGACCAGAAAATAAGTAAGAGTCAAGCAGGGTGGCTGGAGAGCCTACTGAGCTGGAAAGGGCCGGCTCTCTCTTAAAGACACAGGTGTTACTGAGCTCCAGCTGGTTGTCGCCATGCCCAGAATTGCTAGAGCTTCAACATCTTTAAGTTAAATTTTTTAAATTTTCAAATAGCGATAACTATTTAAACACAAAAAGATATTGTACAGGCTGAATTGAAGAGGTCTGTAGATGGATAGGGCCAACAGGCCACCAGTTTGTGACTTCTGCCCATAGATTTGCCATCTTGCAGCTAAGAAGCTAGGACAGTCTATTAAAAGATCCCCTGGTAAGCACTCTAAAGGAACTTACGGTCCTCAGAAGCTACACGAGTTTGCTAAGGACCAATATGACACACAGTCACCTCTCTTACTTCTTTGATTGGCAGAGGGCTGTGGTAGGCTTGGGTGGTCTGATTCCAGCAAGGCTCTGACGAGGACAGCCATGCTCTCCTTGGGGCCCAGATGGAGAAGTTCAAGTAGAATGTCAGTGGTGCTTCTAGGTAGATTCTTAGCTGACTTGAAAAACTGTGCTTGGGAATGATGGATTAATAAACCAATACCGACCAATAGACTGATGGATTAAGAAACCAATATTGACCAATAGGAATGTCTCTATTCTTTTGTCTCTGACCAATTAAACTTTTAGAGCCCAGAGATAAACTCAAGAGTGGGCTTGATGCCTGCAGGGTGCAGTGAGAATAACAACTCCCTGATCTTGGCTCTGTATTTTGTAGCAGACTGACCCGGTTTGTGTAACTAAAGTTTTATGAGTACATGGCCACACCCATTCTTTGACACATTGTCTCTGGCTGTTTTTGAGAGACGAGGACAGAGCTGAGTAACTGCGAGACTGTATGGCCTGCAAAGTCTAAAAGGCTTACTCTTCGTCCCTTCACTAAAAAAGTTTGAAGACTTTCTGATGTAGCCAAACATAACATTGGTAATCTGAGTGACCTTATTACACTGTTGGTTAATATTGACAGTTAATATTGTCAGAAATGGTCAATAAAAGCCTGAAGTCTATATCATATGAACTGCCGTCAAGCCACATCTTCTTGAATTGTAGATTGAAACAATCAATTTAGTGAATAAAAGAGCAAAGTTTTAAAGTTATTCTTGATAAAATGTAGCTTGCTGCTTTATAATTTTGTGTCCAGTGTATTGATAATGCCTTTGGCTTCATGTGTA